GGCTGTAACCTATCGTTCTCCCCACCATCATCCTCTGAACCATTGAGGTCTTCTCCATTCCCAGCTACCCTATCATCCTTAGAAGGGGAGTCAAGATGAATCACTCCCTCAGCAGGCATAGGTCTGTCAGCAACAACTGAGGAAGAGGGCACAATGGTAGAAAGGGGAAGAATATTCAGGGGATGAAAGGGTGGGACAATTCCTGAGGATGCAACCTCCATGCACTCGATGAAAATATTCTCAGCCAGGCGCAGGGTGGGTTTTGATAATTATTTGGGGGGTGGATATCTAGATAAGCATCTAATTCATCTGGACCAGCACAAGAGCTTAATTCCTCTTCAGGGGGAGAACGGTCAATAAAACCGTCTCTGTACCCTTCAGCATACCAGATGGCACTGGTTCTAGTGAAGCGAGCAAGGAGAGCTTTCATACCCCCTTCGACTTTGCCGATCATGTTCAGCAAGGAAGACCGTTCGTTTAAGAGCTTCTCCTGTGAGTTCGTATGAGACAACCGTTCAGCAATGAATGAGCGCTGAAGGTCTCCCTTCTCAGCTTTGAGAGAGTCCATTTCTGTCAGAGCAACACTCTTCTCAGTTTTCAAGACATCAACTTCATCCTGAAGAAAATCCCGTTCGGTCTTCAGGGTATCCCGTTCAGCTCTGAGGGAATCCCTCTCATTTGCCAGACTGTCATTCTCTGCCTTTAAGTCAGCAACCCCTTTCTCTGACTCGCTCAACTTAAACTCCAGCTCAGCAACTTTGGCCTCAAGGAGATTCTCTGCTTCAACAGACCTTTTAAGGCCCATAGAGAAGGATTTAAGCTTTTTGTTCAAAGTTTCAATGGTTTTTTGGAAAGTGAACATCCCGAATAGAATCTGATAACCACTAAAGAGTTATAGCAGAAAAGAAACGCATTTCAATAAAAAGAAAAGTCACCTCCATAGCAACAGCTGGGAACCGCTGGAACATCTCACCAAAGGATAGCTTGTTCTGAATCTCAAGGTCCTTGGGGGTCCAGAAACCCTTGTAGAAAACAAAGGAGGTGAGAGGATCCTTGTATATTGAGTCAGTGGGGCCAATGGTCGATCCATTTTTACGGCTGAGCAAAGGTCGCCATGGAAGAACGGATGGAGTCGGACCAGAGGTTCTGGCCGATTCGCCTTCTAGAAATGAAGAACCGGGTAAAGGGTAATGGTTCAGTAACCCTAAAGGAAGCCATCCTGATCCTCCGGGCTGGTGGGATATCGCTCTGGTCATGACCGCCCTCAGGCATTGGCCTTTTTCCTAAACTTTTTTCTGACAGACCAGCATTAGCTGGCCCTCCATTGTCTTGAGAATTTCCAGCATCCTGAGTGCTCTCTGAGGAATTATCAGACGAGATGTTGGAAGGCATAATGATGAGAGCAGCAGGACGGATCTCAGCATTATGGTCCACAATAGGGTTCTCAGCATGAGTGAGCTCAAAAGGCTCATCAGCAGAACGGTTAGTGACTTGAGTCACAGTTGGAATAATCACAACTTGCTCTGGGGCAGAGACAGCAAGGGAAGACGATGTGGAAGTAGGTGTAGATGATGATGTGATAGCAGGAACGTTAGAAGGGGTGGGAGCAGGACGCCTCCTCCTGCTGAAAGATGGGATCTGAATGTTCTCCATTGTGGACCCTAAAAGAGAGATGTCAGAGAGATTGTCAGATGTAAGCAAATCAGTAGCTAAAGGGACATTGTTCAGCACACTTTTTTGCAAGGTGTCTAGCCTAACCCTACAGACGCTATAAACCAGTTCATCATGGGGAATTTGAAGGCATCTACAAAGAAAAGTGCAAAAACGAGGAAGACAACTTTCACAGTGGCATTTAGTAGGATGTGTTTTCAGCTTTTTGCAGCCAGAGACAGAGCATGTTCCAAAGGAAGAAGGGATAGAGAAGGATTGGCCGAGCGGAGTCTGCCAATTCCCACTAACCACAATTAAATTTCGTCTCCAACCTTTTTCAAATGAGTTCTTATTAGTGCAGATCGACCGTTTGTCAATAGGGAAGAAATGATAGTACAAATCATTTTGCAAAATCTTATTAATCCGATAACAGAGGAGGAGGTCAATAAGGTCAAGATTGAGACCTCTGTCATGATTCAAGAACAGGAAGACTGTAATTACCCTAAGAAAATTGGGGTTAACTTGCAGGGGGCAAAGCCCCAATTTGTTGAAAACATAACAAAAGAATAGGTGTAGGGGGAACCTAATAACGTTCAAGTGAACGGCGGAGAATAAAACTTTCCCAGGAAGGAGACCCTCACCAGATCTCCCGTCTAAGTTTATTGGATAAACTCTGAGAGAAACATCGCGAAGAATGCAATTCTTGGATCGAATGACGTTCAGATTAGGGAAAGCCATAGAGAATGGGAGGAGTCCTAGGCAGTAAAGGTTTTTTTTTAAAGAAAGATTTAAAAAAAAAAAAACTGACCTTGAAAGTTTGTGATGAACGCAGCGACGGTACAGTAGCTAAAAATCGAAAAGGAGAAACTCGCAGGAGAAATTAAAAAATGATCGCCGGAATGTGCAGGAAGGCAGCGGAGAGTAGAAGCGAGATATAAGAAGAAGGGTGAAGGTTGAGAGACTGGAATTTTTAAAGAGGAAAAGTAAATGCGACATGGAACTCAAAAGGTCAAGGCAAAAAGTGACGCTTCAGATCTCGAAGCTTGGGTTTTTATGCCAGCCGTTTGATTCCTCGTGTCATTGCTCCGAGCCGTCAGACCAAGATCGTGTCTTTTCAATAATCTCACCCTCATTAATGAGGGGAGAGATTATTGGGGGTAGATGAGGACACCAAAATGACCCGGGCTTGGTATGATTCGTATTGCAAAGGACAGGTCGGGTATGGATAGACAGGAAGGAGCAAGTTCACGCTGGATGGGCCCAGATCCATAAAGTTATTGCAGAAGCCCATATTAAAATGAGAAAAGTTGAGTCCAGATAAAAGGGAGCAGATAAGACCCAGACCAGAGGAGGTTGTAACCGTTTATAAATAAGGGAAATCGAGAGGGAAAAGAAGTTAGAAATATTGGGAGTGAAAAATTTCTCTCTCTGTAATTGGGAGAAATTCTTTGTACTTTCATCGTTTTAAATATTTATAGAGTTTGAGCGTGGACAGCAAAGATTTAAAATAATATATTGCACTATTTGCTTAAATATGTAAAATTTCTTTCTCTTTTAACCCATGTATTTTCGTGACATAACGAGTTAAATGTACGCCAAAGTATAAAAAAATTATATCGCACAAATATATGATTAATAATGATATAGATAGTTTACATGACAACACATTATAGAACCTCTTCACAAGTTTGTAGAGTTGTATAGAACTCTTGAGAGTAACTTCGTATGGTATAAATATTCTTTCCGAAAATTTTAGATCCCTATTCTAAAAGTCTCCCGCAGTTGATCAACAAGATGTAATGTGTATAAAGATTAGTCATTCATTACAAGTATTTCTGGCCCTATAAATTGGTGAAAGTTCAATTGTCCTCAAGTTAAACATGTGAAGTGTTGTAAACATTGATTCTTTAGTACCACAATACAAATCTTTCTATTCACTCAAACGTTTTGGGCAGTTTTTCTTCTATTCTCTGTTTTGTTTCAAACTTTTTGCCCAGTTTTTCTTCTATTATATATCTTGTTTGTTTGCTAGTTCACCTTCCCTTCAACTAGCTAGTAAGCTTAACTAAACTAATTAGACTCTAACTAGCTAGCTAGCTTACAAAACTAATTTGGTATCTGACTTACACTTGCACCAAGTTTTTTTTTTTTTTTTTACCGTTTGGACTTCACGCGTTATGTACATACGTGTAGTTTTCATTTTCAGATCAATTGATTCTTCGAGTAAATAATGAGAAAGAAACAAAAAAAAAAAAATTAAAAAATAACACAACCTTCGAAGGGCCGAACACAATAAAAGTAAAAGCAGACTAAATAGAATGAATATTAGATTGTTTATTATTATTTTTTTTGCGTCAGCATGATCTATAATTATTGCCACGTTCCAGGACTCCAAGCGGTGGTATTGTTGCGTCCACAGACTTATCTCTTATTTTTTAATTACTCCATTTTTTTTTTTTTTTAATTGTCGATACTGTATTATTTTAATTAGTTTTCGAATGGGTGGAAGGACGTTTACAGCATTATTTTAACATTTTAGAGTTATTTGTTTTAACGTTTCAGAGTTATCTCCAAATACATTTTAACATTTCAAATTATTGCCAAACTTTATTTTAACATTTTAGAGTTATCTCCAAACGTTGTTTTAACATTTCATGAGTTATCTCCAAATGCATTTTAACATTTGCTATTTTATTTGAATCGATTTTCTTCTCCTGAATATATTATTTGAATCAATTATTTTAGCCAAAAATTATCCTTGATATTTCAATTGTATTAAAATTGGTTTTGATATTTTATTAAATTTTGATGAACCACATGCTATTACGATGTAATCTATAGTGAGTTGAATCCAACCCAGTAAACTTGCAACACATTTGCTCAATTTAATTATATTAATAGTACATTCTAGTTTGTATTTTGACGTGTCTTAATATTTATGCAACACCACTCGGAATTGTACTCTGACGGTTCTTTCAAACATTTTAAAATAGAAGGAGGCTTAAAGTTTTTCTAGGAGTAAAAGTTGGTCTATGAGTGTGTTTATTGCCGAAATAATAATTTTTTTTTTCCAACACATACACATCTTTTTGAGGTGTGCAAGGTGAATATATACCTCAATGATCCCGTGCATTTTATGAAATGGGTGGTATTTTCTATATTTATATTTGAAATAATTTTACTTACCTCTCTTGAGGTGAGGTTAGGCCTAATTATAGACATTATCTCTAACGTTTTAAAAATATCACTCACCTCCCTTCAACGTGGTCGGCGTTGGTTTCCAGTAGAAATTAATGTTAAATAACTAAAATACCCTCTAATATTATATTAATATAACATAATATCGAATCTTTATATGAAAGGACAATATTGTCCAAAAATAAAGTTATATTAATATACACAACTACATATACACACCACCGCCTCCCACCATGTATACATACACAAACAACTACCACAGGTGGTGGCACCGCGGCCATAACCACCACCATCATAATCATCACCACTGACGGACTCTTCCTCTCTAACGATCAACAGGACACTACCATCCACAAGTAAAGCCAACGGACAACCTAAAATAAGGAGACCGAGGAAGAATAAAACTTAGTGGATCCAAGAAATTTTGAGAGAGAAAGTGTTTCAACTGGGTCAAAATTGTGTATATACAATATATCTATATATAGATATATACGTGTGTAGATAGGGCAAAGCAGAGCTACCATCTCCGGCTTAAAGTTCATCAGTCCAAACATGAACATCCGTCGCCTCGACTTCGCCGACATGGACATGATCGTCGTAATATTCACCGGCGAAACTCCTGCTCGGATGTGAATTCGAATTCAGAAACTATAGCGAGCTTGACCGGTGAAGCGGTTCGAGTCGTAGATCAACTGAGAGCTGCGAGACTTGTGAAACGACGGTGATTTGACGACGGTGAAGTAGTCGCTTTTCTAGTACTCGTTCAGTTCGTCTCGGTCGTCCTCCCAGGGATAATGTTTCCGCATAAGACAATGTTGTTGTCGATTGGGCTGATTGCGGAGTTCAGATCGATGAAGAAATAGGTCTTGATCTATGGGGGGTTTTGGATTAGGATGCAGCCGTGGACGATGGAGCTGAGGAGAAGAATTGCTCTGTCGGCGGTGAGGGGTTTCCATAAATTCCGGCGGCGAGATGCTCCATTGATTCCGACGGTAAGATGCTTATATATATGATGGACCAGGTTATATACGTATATATATATATATAGAGAGACCAATATATATATTATGTACAGAGAGACGTGCGTGTAAATTGGTTTTTAGAGTGAGATGTCAGATGTGTATATTGTTTTGAGTGTATATGAGTAATTTTCAATTCAAAAGTAAGGGTGGAAATGTCTTTGTAATTATAATAAGGGCAAATGTGGTATTTCATGCTAAAAAATGGCTGACATCATCAAAAACCGTTATTGACCGGCGTTGACAGTCACCAGAAGGGGCAAAGTGTTACCGGGGAGCTAACTTTGAGGGAGGTTGATGTAATTATTAAAACGTTAGCGGCAGTACCTGTAATTAAGCCTAACCTCGAAGGAGGTAAGTGAAATTATCCCTTTATATTTTTGTTGTTGTCTAAGAGCATCTCCAATGCAAAATGTTATACTTTCATGTCAAATTTATATTTTAAGAGGAGATACAGTGTCAAATTGCTATGTTTTTGCAATTATGCTCCAATGGTGCATTTCATCCAAAATCCTATTTTTTGACACGACAACCATTCCATATTTTGAGAGCTCATTGAAATGCCTTATTTTCATTTTAGCAACTTTTTAGCAATTTCAATATATGAGAGGTCTTTTGAGAGCCCATTAGAGTGTCTTATTTTCATCCACTTGCTATATTTTAAGTTTAAGAGACCATTTGAGAGCTGCTATAATTGGCAATACTTTTAACAATCTCAAAATATGAGAGGTCTTTTGAGAGGACATTGAAATGCCTTATTTTCATTCACTTGTTATATTTTGAGTTTAAAAAACTATTAGAAATGCTCTAATATATCAATTGTCAATGAGTGTGTTTATTGAAATAATAATAATAATAAAAAAAAAGGGCTTTTCTAAACATACACCTCTTTTTGAGGTTGCAAGTGAATATACCTCCTCTGTGATCCCATGCATTTTATGAAATGTGTGATATTTCCTACATTTATATTTTCTTTGTTGTCTAAAATATCAATTGTCAAATTCAACTAAAATTTTTTATAGGGTTAAAATCACAAAATTTCCTCTGCTTTAAAAATTATCCCTAGTAGAATTAAAAAGTCCCTTGAATTAAAAAAATTTATCAAGTTGTTCCATATTTGTGACCCGTTAACTTAGTAGTAAAATGATAAAATTGAACTTATTATTTATTGTTAAATTAAACTGCTAAAAACTATTATTTTAAAATTATAAAAATACTAAAGGACCATTAAATAATGTTAAATTGCAAAATTATTTTAAATGAAAAAATTATTATTTAATTTTAAATGAAAAAATTATTATCAACATTTTAATTTAATATTAAAAAACAATGACAATTTTATCATTTCACTGCCAAATTAGCTCAACAGTGGTCGGTCACGGATTGAAACTTCTAAATTGTGTGAGTAAACTAGTGCTGATTGATATTGCGACCCAATACGAACAACCAGACTAGACACAAATTGTGGGGCTCACCATGTGCGGCATATGGTGGGCCCACAAGCGTCGTGTCCGTCCATCCTTAGATGAGATGGTTTTAGTACTATACACGTGCTTTCGAAACAGAACAGAATTAGGATATGGACTTCCATGCTCTCTGTTTACACGTCATGAATCAATTATTGGTGTGTCAAAATCACTGATGTAATTGACAAGATCATTACTGGCTTTGTACAATTTTTGTTGTCTTAAAATAAAGTATGCTTGTGCTCGTGAGATAATTAAACATTGTCGTAATTTATTTATTAGAATATCATGCTTAGATTGAGTGATGGTTTTGCTAAGCTTATTTCTTGTTGCACTGTAATTGGTTTTTTTTTTTTTTTTTTTTTGGGTAGCCCGATACAAAATATTGGCATGGTATATTAAATAGACGCAAAAGAAATAATATTAAATTTATTTACTCATTTAAAATTACTTTTGTTTTGAAGTTTTAAATACATGAAAAACAAGGTGACCTTTTTTTTTTTTTTTTTTTTTTTTTTTTTTTTTTGACTTGTGACCTTGTGAGGTATCAAATTTCTATCAATCCCAGTGAACAGAATATTGGGATTTTTTTTTATAAAAAAAAAAAAGAAAAGGAAAAATGCATCCATATTGCAAAAATTGTAGGTTGAGATAGATAGAATAAATAATTAACGTATTATCAGAGAGAAATTGACATAGATGAAAAATCATACTTGTATAACAAACATTAAAAGAAGAGAAATAATAATATATAAATAAATCATAAATGTTAATTGCTGAGAAATGCAGTAAAAAAGAAAAGAAAAAACAGAGTGATTGGGTGTGGTGTGATAGCCCAATTGATAGGGTGTTGATGGTTGTGGCCAAATGATTCAGGTTCTTGTTAAAAATAAAATAAAATAAAAAAAAGAAAAAAAAAAAGGTGTGTGATTGGGGGAGCTAATTGGTCAATTTTATTGCATTTTGGGTGGACCTGGTTGAATGTGAGTGACATCCCTTCATTGGAGTCCATGTGTATTATTGTTGTACCATTCCATAGATTAATGATGCATGTGAGTGTGAATCGTGGTGATGTTCCACTTATGGATCTTGTTCATGTTCACTTACAGACAAACGGAATTGTCGTAAGTGCAGCTAAAAATGGTAGTTCCATTTAACACGACGATGGCTCTTTCGCACATGCACACACAAGACTACTTCCTGTTAAAAATCTAAATATCCTACAACATTAGGACACGTCAGCTAGGTATGCGTAATATCCTCAGGGTCCGTTTGGTTAGGGTAAAGTTAGTAGAAAGAAAAAAAAACAAAAAAGAAAATTAATTTTTGGGAATTTGGTTACCTGAAAAGAGAAAATATTTGGGAAAGTAGGATTTTCGCATCGATAAATTTTTCCAAAATATTTTCCGGTATAAAACACAAGAAAATTTACTTTTTTGCACAAAACTATTATTTTATTTTCAAATTTCCAATTATGCCAAGTTGTTTCTCATTTTTTTTTTTTTTGTTATTAAATTCAGACTTAGAAAATATTTCAACAACTATTACATATTGGGACATTGATTATATCCAATAGGTCGTTACTTAAAATTTTTGGAAATAAATTAAGAGTTGAATGGTAGAATAAAAAATAATATAATTTTTAATTTTTATCAATATCTCAATAGAAATATGAGAAGAGATTAATTTGAGTCATTATATTATTGATATGACATAACAATTTCACATGAAAATCAATATAATATTTATTTTTAACTATCTATACAGCTTTGAACTAAATAGAGTTTTATATTGTGTCATTTTTGCAAAGAAAAATTTACATAGAAGTGGTTCATACTCGTAAAAAATATGAAAGGGGACTGATAAATTATGCATGAATCATAAAATTATTATGCATGCATTATAAAATATGTTACTTTTGAATGACAATTTTTATCCTAGAGTTACCATTTAATGTTTCTTTGAGGGGGCTTAAAAAAGATATATTTAATAATTCAATAAAATATAAGTATGTCATCATAAATGAACTATATTCTACGTATAAATATAAATAATTATTATTGAAAACACAAAATAAAAAAATCTGGCAACTAAAATGCAGTCCTCCTTAGTTTTTCTAATTTAAATATGAATATAAATAATAATAATAATTATTATTATTAATCCATTATTTTATGATAAAACATGAGTATGTTACAATTATATTCTACATATAAATATAAATAATTATTATTGAAAACAGAAAATAAAAGGAATCTGACAACTAAAATGCAGTCCACCTTAGTTTGTCTAATTTAAATATGAATATAAATAATAATTATTATTATTATTAATCCATTATTTTACTATTTAATTGCTAAAAATTAATATAAATAATTGGGTATAAAAATGATTCATCCAACACAAAATTAATTTATTTTTTAATATTTGAAATCATGAGGGTAGTTTTGGTAAGTAAATTATTTTCTTTTCTCTTTCATCCTATCCAAACTAATAAAATAATATTTTCCCACAACTTTCTTGAAATTTTTTCTTTTTAACCAAATGTATGCAGGAAACTTGATTTTTCTTTCTTTCAGTTCCCTTTCTTTCTCTTTCACTTTCCATCATAAATTTCCTCTAACCAAACGGACCCTTAATATTTAGTTTGGTGGGTCCACCAAATCAATAATGCGTAAGTTGACAGGTGGGTGCTGAAAAACATAGGAAGAGAGAAAGATGATGATGATGAATGAATTATTTTTGATGATTTAAAATTTTATCTTCTCAAATAGAGGAAGGAAGAGAAATAATGTTGTTACCATAATTTTAAATTATAATCTCTCTCTTCATAATTATTATTATAAATTGATTAATATCAAAAACCTAGCACAAGTCCAAATATTTTGATGAAAAAATTTGAACAAAGTTCAGATATATTATGTTGTGTGACGAAAAACATTGTAATATTCGATTAAAAGAATGTATTCATGGAAAATGTACGTGTCCATAAACGAATTATATGTGGATATTATCAAACCGTTTATATGGATTGTTGAGAGTGGATGGATGGATAAGTATTGATTTAACATCTCAAACAATCCATATGTGGATATTATCAAACCGTTTTGACTTGTATTTTGGATGTTAGCCCAATTTTTGTTAACATTATGATTATCAATCAATCTCAATTATTGGGCTTGGGCTGGTTAGAACTGAAATTCAGTCCAACTTAAGTTGGGTCACCAAAAGACTTTAGACATGTCTGTGGCTTGAAATAAATTTAATAAGTTTGGCATCAAGAAACAAATGGGTCCTTAGCTCAGTGGTAGAGCATTTGACTGCAGATCAAGAGGTCACCGGTTCGAACCCGGTAGGGCCCTAGTTAGTTTTTATATTTCTGTTTCCTAGTCCTCATTTTTCTGAACCCTGTAATGCCCTAGTTAATTTTTATTTTTCTCTTTCTTAGTCCTCATTTTTGTTCGGAATCGTTACCTGCTTCAATTTTTAAGCACACGCTTCCAAATCCATATGTTAGATTTAAACGCTCACAAAACCTAAATTTGACATGGGTTTTGCAATGGACTGTCCATCCTCTTTAAATAAAGGATTATGATTCTCTATCTCTCTACATTAATTATCTTTAGTTGAATTGTTATAGTTTTAATATGTATCATTTCACCTAAATCTAGGGTTAACAATGCTCCACATAATTTAGTGATAAAAAGGGCTTTGTTTTGAGAAAGAAAAATAGCTTTTGGTTTCCAACCACCCGCCTCTCTCTACCAGTATTCTTGATTTGAATTTTTTTCGTTTCATATCATGCAACTAGATTATCCGATTTTTTCACCTTTCATTGTCTTTCCTCTATTCTAATTCTTTTTTTATATTTAAACCTAAACTCTCCTCCTTCCGATTTCCTCCCACCGGACATAAAGCTAGGTTGTTCAATTTTTCTTTTTTTATTTCTTCATTATCTAAATCAATGAGATAATTGTGTTCTTTTAAATATATGATTTGTTGATTACAGCAAGTTGGTAAATGCATTTGATTCCGTTTGAGTACAAGTTTTTCAATCTAAACTGAAAATAAGGGTTTACACCCACCAATGATCACAACAAATTTGCAAACTTCACCACCAATTCTATACCAATCCATGAAGAACCTACTAGTTTTCAAGCATAAGAGACTACTTTTTTATTTTTTATTTGCTAATGTGTTACATTATGAGTCATAAATATCTGATAAAGGCCACATGTCAAAGTTTCTAAAATTCACTTAGGATAATGTAGAGAAAGTTTCTAAAATTCAGCTTAGAATAATGTAGAGAAGTTTAAACTTTGATGATCCTAGTCCATAAGTAAAACACACTGGTATTGTTGACTGTCCAAAGCATTTCTCATTTGGCATTGCTAATTAATGCTGCTAAAATATAGATTTTGAAGCGATTGGATGGTTTGGTGCTAGTTTTGAAGGCAACAACATGGAATATGCATTCCCATAGCTTTTGAATCAAATGTTCTCAAACTTGATGGAGATGCCTTATATACATTCCCATATATAAACAAAGTATGTTGACAAGAGTCGGTCAGCTTACAAAAGCCTCATCATGAATTTACTATAAAAAATATAGATATGCTTACATATATACACCCCCAAATAACCACCTCTCTCGACCATCACTAAACTTCTGCAACTCTATCCAAACAAATGAAACATACATAAAATTTAAAAGGACATATTTTACACCCAGGCCCTATTGAAGGAAAAAAAAATTTTGATGGCCAAAATAAAAGAAAACTTACATTTTTTTCTTTATTTAATTTTCACTTATCAACAAGCAATTTTCTTTCCTTGAGTTAGCTACTCTCGCTGTTTAACTGCAATGATCCATCCTTCATCAAATTCTGGCTGAGACTATTGTACCGTTCTCGTGAATATTGTCTTGAAGCCTTTCTCCAATCTGTGCCAGACTTCATCATTGCAGCAAACTCCTCATAACTAATACGTCCATCCTGCAAGCGTACGAAACAACTCAAGAAGGCTTCCAGGCACAAAGTGTATATAATTGCTAATTCAGAATGATTTCCAACTATCTGCTACACCATTCCCATTTTCCTTCCAATATTTTTAACAACAAAGTTGAGACTTTTAAACACACTCTTTGATATTGTATAATTACAAGGTCAATTCATATTCATAATCAACACACAGTCACACCCCACGTCTAGTGTCAATTAATTTATACTTAATTGAACCCAAAAAAATCTGAAGTTATTGAAGAACAGAAACAAAAATTATGAGAGAGAGAGAAAAAAAAAAAAAAAAGGTATAGCTGACCTTGTCTGTGTCCACATCTTGCATAATGGCGTTGATGACCTCATCGTTGTGGGTGTCAACTTCATCAGCTAAGGCACCCCTTAGCTCTTCGACCTCTATATACCCACTTTGATTTTGATCAAAGAATTCAAATGCTTTAAGAAGGTGATCATCACTACCCAACTTTCTTAGGTGAACAGAAATTGCTACAAACTCTCCACAGTCTAGATATCCATCGTTATTTACATCACCCTGTAAAAACAGCCTCTAATTATCTTCCAAACAAATATCTGGTAAAAAAAATAAAAAATTTGAAGTACTAAAGATCTTAGGTGTAATGTAGTTAATTTGGCAAGACTCCGTCATATTTATCTTCCCCTTGTTGCTGATATCCATTAATTGGAAATGTGTTCAATGTGAAAACAAACATAATATATACAAGGCAAACTGACCAAACATTATCTTAAACCATAGTATATATTGATCAGAGGGCATATATCCAAACCCAAATCAAGTTCGTTAAGATCATGTATTCAAACCTCTAAACGAGAACGAGGCTAAAAAAACGATGTATAAATTAGAGGATAGTACTCACAGCTTCCATAAGAATCTGAATATCTGCATCAGGGATATGATGGCCAAGCTTGTGCAACCCTACTCTTAGCTCATCAATATTTATCTTCCCCTTGTTGTCGGTATCCATCAATTGGAATCCCTCCTTTATGCCAGCCACTTCCTCCACCGACAAATGCTCAGCAATCACCTGTTGATTCAGAAACCAATTTAGTAACCTAGTATGCGTATAAAACTGTACATGACCAGATCCAACAAAGATCAACCAGCCTGACAAAATCTTCTCAAGCAGAAAAGCAAACAACATTAATGTATTTGTTTATTTAATAGAGCTTTGAGACAATACCTTTAGAGCTCTTTTCTTGAGCTTGTTCATTACTGAGAATTGCTTGAGCCTTGCTCTCACAGTTTCACCTAAAGAGACATTCGGAGCTGCCTTGGCATTTTGCAACCAAGGATGATCTGCAATTAATGAGTAGCAATCGTGGTTTAGATTTTTTTTCATATTTCCTTTCTAGGATTTTGATGGTAGTGAACATTTTTTTCTGAGTGAAAGAAATAGTACGATCTCTATTACACTGACATAGAGACTTGAAAATGTAATGGATCTAATAGTTATAGGAGTTTAAAAAGAAAAGTTGTATCTGTAAAGGATAACAATAAAAAACATTATATTGGAGGATATATAACTAATAAAATGAACACATGCACTCTCCATATTACACACACAAATTAAAATACAATTTTATTAACATGTGAATGAATCAATTCAAATAAACCCTAAGGAGATAAATTTATATATAGGTTTGAGACACTCATTTTTTCTTTTTCTTTTTTATTAAGTTTATAGGTTGATACTTTAATAAAGGAAATAGTTGTGGATTGTGGAAGGTATGTGAAATGGTGCATGGAAGACACGGACTTGGAGATATGAATGATACTGGGGAGGTTATCCTAAACTTTGCAATGAGCCAGTGGCATATAATCTTATGATAGAAAATACAATTTTTAAATAGAAATATGAAAAGACCAAATCAAATTGATTGTCTTTTTCTTTTTCTTTTTTTTTTTCGATAAGTATAATTGATTTGTCTTTCAACTAGAAGAGTTCATTGCAAAGATTTTAAGTATATTCCAGAAGAGATCTGGACATTACAATATAGTTTAAGGTTTTATATTTATATAGATCACAAACTTAAAAACTGGGTGGTGGAACTCTAAAGGAAAGAAAGTACAATTATTGAAAAATAAGATGCTAAAAGAAGTAACATTGAAATGAAACTAAAGCAACGTGAAATAGGAAATCCATCTTATGTATCAAAATAATATCAAAAGAATTCTAAGAATCCTTGCCCAAAAAAAAAGAGAAGAAATTCTAAGAAGATTAGAGGGAAAAAAGATCATAATTAAAGGGAACTTCGAGACAGATGACATTGCTCAACAAGAAATAAGTGAATAAAATTTGAAACAAGACTAAAAATGTAAAAATATTTCCAAAATAAAAATTTGTAAAAAATTGAAGTAAAAAAAGTAGTAAGAGATTCTTAAAAAAAAAAAAAAAAAAAAAAAAAAAAAGGTCATATATATAAATTCTGAACTTTAGTAAAGTTACAGAAGAGGTAAACATCATAATCTTATCTTTTGCCTTTAATTATAGAATAGAGAGGAACAGATAAAACATATTCCGAATGAGGTTTCATAATTTATGCTATTTACTGGTGATATTATTTTGATTGTGAAAATAACATGTGAATTTTGATTAGAGATCTAGTGAAAAGCTTTAGAACAACAAGGGTGTAATATAATTATAACCATAACTGAATACCTCAGAATGACATTTTAGCAAAAATAAGAACATAATCGGGAATGTAGTGAAGATTGAGAGTCTGAGATATTAAAAAGCGAACAGTTTCATTACCTAGACTCGATTAGTTATAAAGATTGGAGACAAATGAGATGATGTTACTTACAGAATTAAAGGACAGGTAGTGCTTTTAGCATATTATGCGATCAACGTGTACATCTTAAAGTTTAAAGATATATTCTAAAGAAAAGTCAATTAGAACATCTATACCATATAAGACAGAATGTTGAACAGTTAGTAAACAATAAAAATTTAGCATGACCAAAAGACTGATACTGAGACGGGTGTGTGGTAAGACAAGAAAGAACAAAATTAAAATGCATACATTTGTGAGAGTGGAAGTAGCACCAATTGGAGAGAGAATAAGAGAATCATTTGACTATGTGTAGCAAAGAACTGTGTGGAAAGGTATAACAACATGCTGTTTAATTGAAATCATATTAACAAAGCTGACCTCAAATACTTTGGACTTTGTTGCATTATGCTCACTCAATTTACTGTGCAACAAATAATTCATAATTACAAAATATTGCCATTTTAACAGAATTAAACATTACCGAGCACTTCCTGAGCAGTAGGCCGTTGCTTAGGGTCAGGGTTGAGCATCTTCTTTACAAGGTCTTTTGCATTTTCAGAAACTATGGGCCAAGGATCTTTCTTAAAGTCTACAACAGACCGAATGATTGCTCGGGCAACTCCTTGTTCAGTTTCTGCATAGTAATAAAATAGATATTGAGATAAGATGGAAACTCACAATAAAAAACATGGAAAATACATGACTCCAGTATTGCAAAGTCCTGAAAAGGAAAACCTCCAATTTACAATCATACCGATTTGTTTTAACTCATAATCAATGACACAGAATGGTTTAAACATGTAACCTTATTTTTTTTTACTAATAGGCTCATAATTATGCTATCACATAATTCTACTTCTCATCCAAACTTATTGAAGTAAATTTTAGAAATGTCCTAAATACTTGGCAGAGAATCCCCTTTAGTTTGTTTTTAAGGGAACAAAAAGAAACAAACAAATGTCATGGAAAATATATATTACCCTTCTCTAAATAAGTCTCTCAGAACAATCCTGCACCTTTTTGCCTCCCCAGCAAAAAATCCTGCATCTGTCCCTCACCCCAACCCAAAAAAATAACCTTTGCGCTGAGTGGTATTTCCTCGCATGACAGCTAGCTCTAAGCACAACGTATACCTTATAGTGTCATCCTGGAGCTTTTAGCAATGAACTCTCTCTCTCTCTCTCACACACACACACACACACATTTAAGTTACTGGTTATTCTTTCTCTATCCTCCCCATCTTACTTCTCCAAATGGACTGTTTTCCAACCATCCACAAAACCCAAAAATATATATGGAATGTTCTCATTAAACGCTACAAACTACAAGAGCATTTCTGTAATTATGACCCATAAATGTGCAGACATTAGCACATTCACTCTTATTTGCACCACAAAAACAATATTGCTAAGTTCCCGCATTTATTACACAGAAACTGACCTGCCCAAAATGGGGGGGCACCACAAAGTAAGATGTAGAGGATTACTCCAGCGCTCCAGATATCTATTTCTTGACCATAGTTTCGTTTTAGCACCTCAGGAGCCATGTAGTAAGGACTTCCTACAATCTCATTAAATCTCTCACCTGCAAAATTGTAAAAACCTCAGCCAATGTAAACGAAGGGATCACTATTGATGATGCCAGAAAAACAAATCATTCAAATACAATAGCTAGCAGAAGGCATTACCAGGCTTAAAGAACACCGACAACCCAAAATCAATTGCTTTCAAGGGTGCTGTTTCCTTCTTGTCTGCAAACAAAAAGTTCTCCGGCTTGAGATCCCGATGCATAACCCCATGCTTGTGACACATCTGCAACACAGCAGAGAACAGTAAATCTATACTCCGTAGCATGTTGAAAAGTTATTTTTTTCAGCAAAAAAGATGAAAATCGATGCCACTGAATTTGAGCACAGACAGTGCTTACCAGGACACAACCATCAAAGTGACCCAAAATTGCAGTTACCATGTTAAAGTTGGATAAGATTAAAAGATACACAACAATGGCACATACAACAGACTTCTCAACAATTTACCATGAAAGAAAGGGATCTGGAATATTGTAACAGAACCAAGGTATGCTATTTAAGAAACAAAAAGTATTGGCAGAAAAAAGTTTTACAAAGACAAAATGATAAAGGGAATCAGGATTTGCCTTCAACAGGACTTAAATTCCATCAACTCCAACCACAAAGCCACAAAAGCAAGCTAGTAAAATACAGCATCTATTACCCATAAAAGCTAAATATTGGCAGAAAAAAAATTTTATAAATAGAAAACCATAAAGGGAATAGGATTTGCCTTCAACAGGACTTGAATTCCCTCAACTCCAACAACCAAGCCACAAAAGCAAGCTAATAAAATATACCATCTATAAACCATAAAAGCTAACCATAAAACATTCAAAAGTCGATTGAATCAATACTGTTTCAACTCCGCAAGCAAAACAATTCCCAGAAAAACTAGCAATATAAGGTTCCATTTAGTATTCAATATCAACTATGTCGGATTTATTTGAAATCTATGTCGGATTCCAACTCTACAAGGATTGCAATACAACATGTCTTCTTAACTCTGATCTAATATCCACTTCATAAACAATCTTTATTTAAACTCAAATCCATTCACTAATCCAAATGGAAAAATTGTCCTTCGCTGCACAGTTATATAATTGTATACACATTATAGTTATGCTACTATTCATAGTATCAAGTGAAATTCTAGTACTCTACATAGTAAAAATCTAACAAATAGCCAATAAACTTAAAATTGGAAAAAGGAAAACTAAATGCAAATGGAAGCAATTATTTAACATCATAACAAAAGAAAGAGAATCTTCACCTCAATAACTTCAACAATTGTTTTAGTCACGGCAGCGGCTGCACGCTCTGTATAATGCCCCCTTGCAACAATCCGATCAAACAATTCACCACCCTCACACAGCTCCATCACCAAGTGGACCGCGTTTTCGTCCTCGTAAGTGTCCTTCAAGCTCACTATATTGGGATGCTTAGGCAAATGCTTCATGATCTCAACCTCCCTCCTCACATCCTCTACATCCACTTGAGTCCTTAGCTTCTTCTTTGATATTGACTTACAAGCAAACACTTCCCCTGAAGATTTATCAGTACACAAATACGTAACCCCGAATTCGCCACGACCGAGCTCACGACCCAGGACGTAGGTCTGCTCAATTTCATGACCAGTTGGGGTGGCCAATACATAGGACTTGGATTTACCATTCCCAGATGTATGGTTCGCACCATAGTCAATAGCAAATGGGTTAGTTTTGTGCTTTCCCTTTTGCTTGTTATCAGAATCAACAACAGATGGTGTCACACAACAATTTCCCATCAAATCAAATCTCCAATTCTCAACCTTTTCAATCAAATGGGTTTGTGAACAAAACCACAAAAAGAAGAGAGATATCACAAAGCCTCGATTCTTACGTATCTAAGCTTCAATTCTGCGGATTTCTCGATCTGAGGACGAAATGGATCTCCAAATTTGAGCAAAATATCAAACAAAATTTGATCCCGTTGATCCAAAACACAGAGAGAGAAAAGAAGAGAAAAAAAAAAAAAAAAAATTGGGTTTCTTTACAAAAATTGAAAAGCTTGATGACCAGCCTGGGAGACTCGGATTTCAGAAGCCGATTGAGGTTAAAATTATCGAGAAAAAAGAGAAACAAACCTATGCAAGGTACACGTGAGAGTTGAGAGGAAATTGGTTATAACCAGAATTGTTGGAGGATTGATAGGTGATTTAAAGAAACAATAGAAGGGATTGAAAAGGACAACGCGAAGAGAACAAGAATTTAGCGTGTGAACACCACCATTGACGAAAGATGAGAGAAGATCGAACCACTTTCATAGAGGCTTCCCTCCTACCCACCTTCTCTTTCTATTATTATTATTATTTTTTTTTTTTGGGGGGCAAATATCCATCTCTGTAATTTATTTGTATCTTTTTTGTTTCCCAAAATATCCAAAACCAAACTCAAAAAGTTCACAAGTATTTTAAATGGAATATAAGGGTAGGTAAAGTGCCCTTTATCTTTAAATAAAATTTTTATTATGCCATTTGGACTTGTTTACCAATATACCCTCCCTCTCATGCATGGATAATTTTTTTTTTTTTTCCCACTAGCTCAAACAAAAGTAACAGAACTCCAACACTCAAACCTCTCATTTGGAAAAGTGGAGTTTAGTGAGTTAATTTTCATTGATTCACTAGTCATGGTGTTGGATCACACACGTACAAGTGTTCTATCTCTGAAACTTTGTTACCAACTTGCTAGTTTGGAATGACTAAAATCATGCGACTATATCACGATTTAAGTCATAATATGTCTTGTGTCTATGTTTATTGTAACAATCGGCCCACTGGCTACTATATTTAGGTCCTCTTATATATATGAATTTTTTTTTATATAATGCTCCTAAAATAGTAATTTATAAAATTATTTCTTATATATGTTTTTTTTGCCTATTAGCTTGTGTTATCTTATGAACTCCCAAACTCTTGCCCTAGATGCATCTAAAAATCAGTCTTTAATTTCCCCCCATCCTCTATCTAGTATCATATAAGGTCATGAAAGAACTTAACCGAATTTAGGATGCAAAATTATCCAATAAAATTGAAGAAAATGAACCATTTCATCTTTTTATTCTCTTGATTTGTTTTTGGTGTTATTATGTTTGAGTTGTCTAAGTTAGCTTCTTTTAGCTTCTTTTTTCTTCTTCGAGGAGTTAACATTTTAAGGGATTACCTCAACTAAAATTTCACAGTTGGAATAATCATAGCAAGCTAGAAGAAAATATGGAGCATAAAGTCGGGCAAAGGTGAAAATGCATGAAGAATGCGGGTGTCTTATAACTTGTGATAAGAAACATGTGGATTTCATGGTCATTTGTTGCTATTTGAATTACTAAAGGAGAATATGTAACTACAAGATTTATTTGAATGTGCCAACTATAAATATTTATTTATAGTAAATAGATGGTAAGTGATTATTTTATTTAGAAAAATGATATTATTGACAGTTTTAATACCCGGACTTAAAACCGTCATATTTTACTTAAAACCAATATAGATAAAATATGACGTGGTTATTCTAGAATTTCAACTTAAATATGTATCGTTATTACTATTATTTATTTCCATAAAATACGTCTCTTTTTCCTTTCTTATTTTTCAGTTTTTCATAACCTATTTCCTTTTTCTTTTTTCTTTTTTTTCCATTTATGGTTGTATCATCATCATCATCATCATCATCTTTTTTCTTTTTTTTTTACAACAAGTTTCATGGTAATCAAATATAAGAATTTGATTTATATAAAATCTACAACAAAAATTACAATGTATTTGGAATCAGATAAATTATTAGTTTTGATCATTATAACAATTCACAAATGCATATCAAAATAATTGGTGTATATTAATGATCAAAGATACAATGTTTAAATATAACAAGGGATACACAATATAATTATATATAGGAGATGTCTGAAATATCTCAAGAGTTCTTACAGAAATACAATGTCATGTATATATATAACAAATACACAATTTGATATACATGGTAATTGACACTTTAATCGCCTAACAAAAATACTAGATTAAGATGAAACCTAAAAAAAAGATTACAACTTTCTAAATAGTTAATTACCTTATATTTTAATATAGGTCCTATTATATTTGACACATAAATAGCCACATAGATTGGGTGAACTAGTATGCTTTTATTTGCCGGGCTAAATAGCAAGACTCTTTTATGTAATTAAGGTAAATGTAAAATGATAAATATTTATGGAAAATGATATTATTGACTACTTTAATATCCCGACTTAAAACCGACAGCAATAAAATATGACGTGATTATTCTAAAATTTCATCTTAAATATGCATTATTAATACTCTTATTTGTTTCCATAAAACACCCTATCCTTAGATTTGAAACTTAAATATGCATCTTATTTGTTTCCTTAAAAAATTAAAATTACACTCTTTATTTTTGTTTCTGGGAGTCATATATATCATCAGTTTTGATCATTATAACAATTAACAAATGCCTATCAAAGTAATTGATATATATTAATGATCAAAGACAGATGTTTTATATATAACAGGAGATACAAAATCTAATTATATATGGAGATGTCTGAAGTATCTCAAGAGTTCTTATCAATATACAATGTGATTGATATACATGATGATTGAAAGTTGAAACTTTAATTGTTAACGAGGAAACTAGATTAAGATAAAACCTAAAAAAAAATGTCTATAACTTTTTAAATAGTTAATTACCTTATATTTTAATATGTGTCCAATTATATTTGACACATAAATAGTCACGTAGACTCGATAAAATAGTAGGTTTTTATTTATCGGGCTAAATAGACTCAATATTTATTGAAGGGAAAATGCTACTTTGTTATTATCCCGAAATACCAAAAAAATTACTCCATCTATCTAATATCTATTACTCCGTATGTTTCGACCCACGGACATGTGAAACCAAAAAGGGGAAAAGGAAAAAGAGTGAGGCTTTTTTGGTAATTTAAGACCACCATATTGATTTTTATCCCCAATAACGAAAAGAAAAATAAATTAGGTCAGCATCGTAATTATAGATTCGAATAAGGGTCGCAGTTAGATCTGATTGTAGAAGTGGCATGGTCTTATCGGTTCACCCATTGCCACGTTATTGACCTTCTAGAAGCCAATCAGAGGGACTTTGGTGAGGAACAGTCATTTACACAAATACCCCTGAGAATTCGACATTAATACAGCCCCCGTCAACGAACACCGGTTGTCGTTGATCGAAGCTTATAGGAACTGTGCCAAAAACAAAACAAAACAAAAAAGTTATTTAGAAAACATTTGAATACTCAACTACTTAAAATGCCCTTAAGTTAAAATAATAATTTTAATTTTAATTATTAAGGATATATTATATGTATTTTGAAATTTTTATAAGAAGAATAATTAAAATTGATGATCCACGTATATATTAGAGATCAACATATTTGATGGTGTTTTTTTTTTTAGAAAAATTGTATAATTATTTAACTATAAAATTTATCAAATGGACTAATCATTCTTATTAAAAACACCAAACATTATACATAGTGTCATGGTCATAGACTAGTTAAACAAAATATTAAATAATAATAATAATGCATATCAAGTTTTGATATAAACTTCCTTGTAATTTAGGAAGATAATAAAAGTAGTAGGATTAAGTGATTAAAATATTTTTTTTTCAAGAAGGTAAATGGAAAAGAACTTGAGGGCCCTACCGGGTTCGAACTGGTGACCTCTTGATCTGCAGTCAAATGCTCTACCACTGAGCTAAGGACCCAATTGTGATTTATAATTTATGAGTAATGTTATTTAGACCTATTTGTTTAGTCAAAAATGAGTTTTCTTTGTTTTGATCGATTTAACGAATAGGTTCAAATGTATGTCCTATCTATTTAGGGGTGGGTAAATAATTCATGTATCCGCGAATTCGATCCTATTCGGTCCGATCAGATTGCATTGTTACACCCACAACATTATTCATAAATCCGTAACTCATAGATCGGATCACGAATTAGACCGTTAAAAATCCGATCTGATACGTGAGTCCGATTCGTGAAATTTATATATATATTTTCAAATAATATGTTAGTCAATTTAATTAGTTAATGATAATTTAATGGACTCTAAGAATGTATTGTATTAGTTAATAATTATTTAAATATATAAATTAATATTAATAAATAAAATTTTATCTATTAGGTTAAAGACAAATAAATAATAAATAATATTAATTAAAAATAATAATAATAAATAATTTAAATAAAACTCAATTTGCGAATTTAATCGTCATTCCACTGACCGAATCCGTGTGATAATGGATCCATGGCCACGCCTATATCTATTACATCACAATTATAAAATTTAATAATAGTAAATGAAAATCTTTTTCTTTGTTCTTTTTCTTGTCAAAATATAAATTACTATATAATCACGTTTTAAACATAATACGGAGTAGTGTTGCGTTGACATTTTAACATTATTATTGGTTACTTTTTCAAGGGTTTTTATGTTAAAAATTGGCGAGAGCAATGGCAGAAAACAAAGTCAAGAGCTGTTTTTTGTCCGTATATATCAATATATCTAAGGCTTTAAAAGTAATTTCGTCTTTGCTTCTTCTGAAAGCAGGTCTGATTTCCAATTGGCCAGTCAAACTTGACAATTTGAACGAATCGAATATAATATATAAAAAATATACACTCGTTGGCCACATTGTTGTAATAATATGTCCACTCCCACAATGTTTCCACGTGGAAGCAGCAAGTTTCTTCTCACCAAATTCCTTGCCGTCCAAAAGTCATTTCCATCTAATATTGTTAACAAAGTTTTCTCTCACCTAAAAATAAATAAAATTAAATTCTGACCATTAGTCAAATTTTAAGTTTCGTTTGATCATTGATTTTGTATTGAGTAATGGACATTGTTTTGATTCCATTAATTTGTTATGATTAAATTAGATTGACGAGCTCCGCTTACGTTTATTGAAGTTACAAAAATTTTTTATTTTTAATTAAGGTTAAATAGTCTAACAAATTTTTTTTTTTATTTGTCTTTATTACTCACAGATTGAACTAATGAAATAAAACTTAAATCTGTCATCAAGTTTAGTTAACTTTGCCCTAACACCCTCTTTCAGTTAGTTGATTGTTAGAAAAGTTAATAATCAATTAATGTAAAAAATATAATGCCTAAACTACTATTTTCCAATTTAAATCATTTTAATCGGGACACAAGTATCAACCTAAATTAACTTAGATATATCATTTTAATTTAGGCATAAACCATAAATTAAAGAAGTGCATGTACCATATGTGTAAGAATATGGAATACACC